TTCCCCCCCCCCCCCCCAGGTGAAACAGCAGCTGCGGCGGGTGGAGAAGACCCCGTGCCTGGGGGCAAGCAGAAGAACAGCCCAGCAGCCGAGAGCCCAGCGGGAGCGGCTGGAGAGAAGCCGAAGCCGCCGCTGACCAGGAAGCAGTGGAGGAACCGGCGGAAGAACAAGAGGCGGCAGAAGAACAAGTTCAAGGCCGGGGGAGGCCGGGACGCCGCGGAGCCACCCGGCAGCCCGCCCCTTGAGGCCGCGGAGCCGCCCGGCTGCCTGCCTCTCGAAGCCTCCCTGCTGCCGCCGGAGGAGGAGCCCCTGGGCGGCCGAGCAGCTTCCCTGCGGCTGCAGCTGCAGGAGCGGCTGGATTCGGCCCGCTTCCGCTACATTAACCAGCAGCTGTACACCCGCCCCAGCCACGAGGCGGCCCGCCTCTTCCAGGAAGACCCCGAAGCCTTCGCCGTCTACCATCGAGGCTTCGCCCAGCAGGTGGCACGCTGGCCCGAAAACCCCCTGCAGCGCTTTGTCCGGTACCTCCGCAATAGGTAAGGCTGGCGGAAGGTGGTCTGCAAAGAGAACCTTAAGGACGTGTTTTAAGTGAGCCACTCACGCAGGACGATGCCACGCGCGTGTGTCCGTGCAAGCCACCCAGGAAAAAAGTGCGAGAGCGCACCTCGGCTTTGGCTTCTGCTGTCACTGCTGCTTCCTCTCTCCTTGGTAGGCCCGCTTTGTTGGTGGTGGCGGACTTTGGCTGCGGCGATTGCACACTGGCCCGCAGCATTCGGAACAAAGTGCACTGCTTCGATGTGGTGGCCCTGGACCCCCGTGTCACTGTCTGCGACATGTCTCAGGTATCCTGGGGTAGGTGAGGGTGGTCTTTGCCTGGACCTTTGAGGGACCGGCCTCCTGCTGCTCTGGCTGGTCCCCCACCTTGGGCCTGGCAGGAATTGCGTTGAGGGGCTTCCCGTTGGTCCTCTGCCTCTTCACCCTTAAGGTGGTTTCACAGCCCGCTTTGGGGGGTACCACCTCATTCCTCTCTCTTCCCCACCCCCTTCCCGGCTCATTCTGCTACAGGTGCCCCTGGAAGCTGCATCCGTGGACGTGGTGGTTTTCTGCTTGGCACTCATGGGAACTAACCTGTGTGAGATCCTGGAAGAGGCCAATCGGGTGCTGCGAGTTGGGTAATTGGGGTCGAGGCGGCCACTGTGGCGAGAGATAGGGCTGGTTCTGGAGGTGATGGAAGGGCCGGGGTGCAGCAGCCATGACAGGAGGAGCAGGCCCTTTGCTCCTCCCATCTGAGCGCGGCCAGCCCTGCTTAAGTGAGCAAGCGTGGCTCTCGCCACTCTCGCGTAACCTTTCTGTGGAACAATTAGCTTCTGAAGACTCCAAGTAAGCGTGTGCCTTTAACTGATAACAGCTCTTGCCAACTGCGGCAAGGAAAGATCAGGCTTTTGTTGTAGTGAGGTAGTGGGACTCGAGCATCTCCCAAATCAAACCGTGCCTTTAGTGTGGTTCCCTGCTTTTCTTACAGTCCACCCGAGCTTCAGGTCCTTATTTCCCTGACTTGAGAGGCATGCGAACCTCAGTGTGTGTGTGGGGGGGGACCCTTTCAGCAGCTCACCCTCTCCCTTGTGTGTGTGTGGGGGGGGG